TGTCCTACTTTTTCCACACAGCCAATTCCAAGGCTGGAAGACTATGAGTCAGATTTGGTCACAACATCGACCTTCCGATAATCTATGCAAAATCATTGAGTATCATTACGTTTGGCAACCAAAATGATCGGTGAACTCCACTCACTTTGACTCATCTCTATGAAGTCTTCTTGGAGCATCTCTTCCACTTCCTTCTGAACTGTGCTGCTTTGAGAAGATTAAGCCTGTAGGGATGTTGTTGTATCAGAACAACATTCCCTACGTCAACCTCATGCATTATTGTGTTAGTCTTCCCCATTCTATTTCTACATAGCTTCTCATAGCACTGTAACAAGTCTTTCAATTCAGTTCTCTGTTCCTGGGACAGAGAGCTCATTTCCCTATCCCATTCCTTAAGGGTTTCCTCATTATTCAATTTATTCTGAGGCATATCAAAATCCAAATCATCTGGATTTGATTCCTCACTCTAATATCTGTTTCTCCAATTCCCTTCCTCCTTTTCTGCTTCTTGTTTCATTAGATGCTGTGCCATCTTCAAATATTGTGTAGCTAATTCACCTACTCTGTTTAATCTTTCTCTCACCTCAGATACAAAATCCAACTATGAGATCTCTGACTTAAGACCTATCAACTTTTCCCTAATTAATTTTAAAGGCCCTCCTACTTCATGTCCGAGTATCAGTTCAAATGGAGTAAACTGAGTCAATTCATTTGGAGCATCTCTAATAGCAAATAATAAATGGGAAACCTTTATCACAATCATTTGGGTTATTCTGGCAATAAGAGCTCAACATTGTCTTCAGTGTCTGATGGCCACCTTTCCACTGCTCCCTGGGATTCAGGATGTTACCCACTTGATTTAAAGTGTTTGGTGCTTAAACTATCCATGACCTCCTTAAATAATTTGACAGTAAAATTGGGCCCTTGGTCTGACTGAATCACCCTCAGTAGTCCATAATGAGTAAAGAAAGCAAGCAACTCCTCCATAACCCTTTTTTGCCTTGACATTCCTTAATGGAATTGCCTCCGGAAATCCAGTAGACACATCCATTATGTTTAGCAAATACTACTTGCCACTTTTGGTTTTAGGGAGGAGACCTACACAATCAATTATAACCTGTGTAAAACGTTCTTTAAATGCAGGAATTGGCATCAAAGTCACTGGTTGTATCACTAGCTGTGGCTTTCCTACCATCTGACATGTATCATGGGTACGGCAAAATTCAACCACATCTTTATACAATCCAGGCCAATAAAAATGCTTCTGTATTTAACCTGTGCCTTCCTCACTCCTAGATGACCTCCTACAGGTATTTCATGTGCTACCCACAATACTTCCTGTCTGTATCCTATCAGCAACACAATCTGTTGAACCTCCACCCATTTCTCATTTGCACTATGCTGCCAAGGTCTCCATTTCCACCTTTAGATTTTATCCTTAAGGTAATAGCATTCTGGAATACATTCTGATTCCTTTTCCAAGTAGGCTTTATGATATAAATCCTTTAACGTCTCATCTTTTTGTTGTAACTCCATTAATCTTTCAGAACTAAACACCTCTGCCAGATCCTCTACCTGCTTAGGTTTCTCGTTTACCATCTCATCAAACAGAGTGCCAGCTAACTGGACCTTAACTCCTTCATCTTTCTCTTTTGTTTTCCCTTCTTATTTTAACTTATGGCTGTGGGCTCTTATCACCACACAATTCCAGGATATTTTTCTTTTAACTCCTCATTTTCCTGGTTTTCTTTTGGCTTTTCCACTACAATGGGCATCACTCCCACCTGTGATCTAGCAATATCGTTTCCAAGAATAAACTGTATTCCTGGAGTAGCCAATTTCTCCATCCTTCTCACTATCACTTCCTCATTTTTGATTGGACTTTCTAGCATTGTCTTACACAGGCTACTCCTCTGTCCATTTATTTCACAGATTGCCACTCTCTCAGGCAATATTTAAGAAGGAGTGCAAATAGTTTTATCTCTTACTATTAGAGACAGACTAGCTCCCATATCTCCAATATTTTAACTTCTTTACCTACTCCCCCATTCTACCTCAGTAAATCTTACCCACACAGGTGAAGTCTTTGAAAAGATTGGGCACTATCTTACTATCCAGCCCGTGACTAGCCTGTGCACTCTCCTGCAGCTCCTCAACTTCTCTTGGAATCCCCTTCACTACTTTAACTAATCCCTCTAGTTTAGCCTGTTTTACCACATCCTTGTTCCTAGTGCCTTCCTTAACCCACCAGCACTGTGACTTTGTGTCCCACCTTATTGCAGTGAGAACACCTGAGGTCTTTTGCCTCTTTTCCACCCTCTTGGGTTTCTTTTTTCACATGTGGCAAACTTTTCACAGTGTGATCTACTTTTTGTTTTTCATTGAAAGATCTCCCTCTTTCCCAATTTCTATCCCTCACAGAATGAAATTACTGTCAGAAGCTAGATTTTGATTTCTGCACTAACGTGTAATCATCTGCCATCTCTGCAGCTCTTCTTGCTGTTTTAACTTTCTGTTCCTCAACATGAGTTCTTATCATTTCTGGAAGTGAGTTTCTAAACTCCTCCAGCAGAATAATATCTCTAAGTGTCTCATATGTCTTTTCTATCTTTACTGCTCTCAACCATCTTTCAAAGTTTCTCTGCTTGATTCTTTCATACTTGATATAAGTCTGACCTGGTTCCTTTCTTACATTTCTGAACCATTGTTTATATGCTTCTGGTACCAATTTGTAGGCACTCAAAATAATCTGTTTTACTTCTTCATATTCTCCTGACACCATCTGTGACAGCGCTGCAAACACCTCACTAGTCCTGCCTACCATCTTGGTCTGCATTAACATTACCAACACAGTCCCTGGCCAATTCATCTGTTTAGCCAATTTCTCAAAAGAAATAAGAAAGGCTTCTACATCGTTTTCATGAAATTTTGGTAATGTTTGGACATATTTGTATATATCCCTACCAAGCCTCTGTCTACGATAGCTTTGCTCATCATAACTATCCTCCTCACTAAGCCTACCTTCTACCTTCATCTCCATCCTTTTAAGTCAACTTTCCTGTATAATTGCCAACTTCTGAAGTTCAAACTCTCTCTTTCCCCTTCCTCTCCCTCTCTTTCCCTTTCTTCTGCTAGGGTCTTGCTCTCTTTTTCTTCTGCCAGAGTGATCCTTTCCTTTCGTTTTGCTCTGCCAGGGAAATTCTTTCCTCTTCTTTTTGTTCAGCTAGGCCAATTTTTTCCCTGTTCTTTTTGTTCTGCTTGGGTGATTCTTTCCTTTGCTCTTTCCTTTGCTTTTAATTCTAATTCAAACTGTTTCAGCTCCCTTTCATGTTCAAGTTGCTTCATCTGCAATTGAATTCTAGCCATTTCCAAAGATTCTGATGGCATTTCCAGCAAAGTTAAATGTCGAGCTATTGCTGTAATTACCTCTCTTTTTCTCACAGACAAAGGCAACCCCATCTCCAGCTTGCCTACCAATTCTAACACCTTTGCCTTGCACACTGTTTGAAAAACCCCCAAAGTCACTTCTTCTACTCCCAGAAAACTCTTTTTGTGTCTTAAAGAGCCATTACCCCATTTTTAATTTAACCAACAAGCAGCTGAAATAAAACAGATTTTACACTTCCCACTTAAGATTTATTTAAGATCTAGGACACTAGTCCCCAAGCCTGTTTCAATCTGCTGGGACCTTTTGTACCATAAATCTGTTCAAATCCGTTCAAACCTGTCCAAATCCATTCAGATCCTGTGCATGAGCCCCCAGTCTGTTCTAAAACAGAGGTTGAGGCCTCTCTGAGAACTAAAACCTTGCACCTATAATGTGTAAAAGGTGTGTGAAAAGTGGTGTAACCTGCTCTTCAGCAACTTCTAGTGGTTAAATAAAATAAATCCCTGACACTCAGTTTAAAAATCAATAAGTAACAATTTATTTATCTAATACTAACAGTGAACAAGTTAACTAAACTATTAACAAATCAAATAAATCCCTTCTAACTACTAGCAATTCCCAAATAAAGCAAGATTCTAATCATATGCAGTTCCCATAAATACAAGAGATAGTAGGAACTGCAGATGCTGGAGAATCCGAGACAACAAGGTGCAGGGCTGGATGAACACAGCAGGCCAAGCAGCATCATAGGAGCAGAGAGGCTGACGTTTCGGGCCTAGACCCTTCATGATGAAGGGTCTAGGCCC